TTAGTGCCCCCCCCCCCCCCTCCCTTTGCGGAAATCTCCCGGATTCAGAATCCTTGAAGTTAGCAGGTGTGTGTGCGTGTGTGTGTGTGTGTGTGTGTGTGTGTGTGTGTGTGTGAGAGAGAGAGAGAGAGAGAGAGAGAGAGGGAGAGAGAGAGAGAAAATGGCCATTGAAGGTTTAGGTCTGTAGTGGCTCATCTGGAATGAGCTAACATGAATTACAGACACTCTCATGAAGGTGCATTTGCAAGAAACCAATCTTTCTTTAATAGAGAAGCAGCTTTTGGCAGCACAAGGGTAACAAGCATTAATAGTAAAGTCTACTTCAGTCTCCAAAGCCTCATCTACTCCAGCTACCCAAGCAAACATTGCAGCTTTGTTTGTTCACGCAGATACCACCAGGACACTTCCGACAACAGTAAGGACACCAGCAACAATGCTCCGGTTCAGATTTTGACATGTGCTCGCTGCAGGAGTTCTTTGAGAAGGTGAACTTATGTCTGTGGAAAGATGTCATGGAGTGTAAGAATATCATAGCCGTTTTGGGTGAGAGGTACTCCGTCACCGAGCCCATTCGACATCTGGAACGCATTAGCAACACCCTTAAAAAGATGTTTGCTTTAGTCGACGAACAGCTGTGACTTCAAGAGCCCTAAGCAACCTCTGAAAAACAAAGTGCATTAATCTCTTCTGGCATTCACATCTTTCCGGCACAATTCATGATGCCAGTAGTCTGTTCATGTGCTGCCATTAGAAAATAAGCTCTTCATTGGTGCAATATATGAGGAACATCATTTGCAAATCATCTCTTACCCTGCTTTGCCATGCAATCACACGCCCATCCGGCCTTGTCTCGCGTGACTCTCATGTGCGATCAACTGATTTCACTTTGTTTTGTGCATTTTCGACTATGAAGGCACAGATAACAGCGTGTAGCTAAGAAGAGTGGATGCCTGATAGCCTCAAGGCTTAGTGCCAACATTCTCCACGTGTTTCATGACAACATAATTGGCAAGCAGAAGATAGCACCTGTAAAAAGGGTATCAAAGGCGAGAAATAAACCCCTCTTTAGTCAAACCCGGAGTGGTTCAGGGTGCTGAGTAGTGAGATGTGGACTGGCATGTAGAGTGCCCCGAGGAGAATATAAAGAAGTGTATCTATGTGGCGGTTGTTACTGTAATAGGATCAGTGTTGGGAAGTACCCAAATCAGTGATGAACCATATCCTGCACCAAGTTCACTCCTCTTTGCAGGATCTGACAGTGAAGTTGACTTTCCCAAGTCTGAAGGTACTGGGGATTGTGGCCGACGGCTAGATGGAACAAGCATAATGTGTTACAGTATCAGCCTCCACCATTCAAAACAAAGTCTAGTTCATGTGCATCCTGTCATATTAAGCACACGGCATTCTTGATTCAGTGACAAAGGCGCAGCATGTGGAAGCAGTCTCCTCTGCGTCAAATTTGCCAGTTCGGTGCCTGTTTGCATGACTTGTTCACCTCACTGCAGTGCGGCCTTTGTACCATTGGAATCAACGGCCTATCGTTCTCGTTCAGCCGATCAGCCTGTCAGCATACCAGCTACTGGCAAACAGTAACTGCAACAAGCATCTGGCCTAATTGTATGTTGATGATGAGGTGACATCATCTACATGGCACACAACTGTGCTAGTATATAGCATCAGAACTGCACCGTTTGCTTTCAGTGTAGCCACCCAAGGCACTTTCTGAAATAATGTTTTAAAAATGGTTGCCAGTAGGTAGTGACAGGGTGAGTGCTTACAATGCCATGGTGCAAATTGCATCTGTAGCCTGAAACACAAAGCCACTGCTTGATGTTCGACTGGGGAGAGAGGCATTGTGCACTGCGCCGAACACAAGGTCCAGTGTGAGCCTGCTTGGTGTATCAGCAACCAGTGTTGCATGATCTTCTGGAGCCAAGAAAAAAATGCAAAGTTTTGACACTTGGCCTGGCATCATGTTGGTGGTCTCAATACACCACAGCTGCCAATTGCAAAATAAAGTGGGATGGTGGGCCACATGTTCAAAGATTTCTTTGTCTGCCAGATTGATGCTATACTAGAACTTGGTTGAATGCTTGAAGTGTTCTTGTTCATCTGCCACTTATATGCAAACCATTGGGTGTTTGAGTCGGTGCTGCAAATGTGCAATGTAACAAGAGTTGCCTGTCAATAAATTGTGTGTGCATTTAAGCACATGAGCAAGCGAGAAAAAGAGGTGTACAAGAGTGGGTGAAGAGTCAAATTAGGGCCTGATGAGAGAGAGGGCCAAGGGCTAGTTGCTGGCATGATGAGGTCAAATAAGAAAAATGTTTCACCAGCTAGGCCAATTCTGGTATAATTAAGATGTAATAAGTCACGGTGGGATAGTGAAATTTATTGTTACTTATGAAAAATGGCCAGTTACCTGCTGGTGATTAAGAGCGAGAAACAGAAGAGCACTCTTTGTCTTGTCAGAACGCTGAAAATTTCTAGAAACTTTCCTCGGGGACGGACCAACACGTGTGTCACCTCCAACAGATTCCATTTGCAAAACACAAGTTGTGGGGAAAAAAATGGAAACAGCCGATGGAAGAAAAGGGAATTGCCAGATTAGCACTGCTATCTTTGAAACCGCGCATGGAATAGCTCACAACAAGCATGTCTTGTTCAACACACCAGCAAGATATGTAAAGCAGATGTGCTACACTCGTCCAAAATGATAACGCAGTTGGGCACTTATTCATGATTGTCGGCAGGATTTTCTCTTGGGGAGTGCGCACCAGTGTTGCATCGCGGGTAGGGGAGGGAGAAAGCACTAGTGTAGCTTGGGTGAGGGCAAGTGCCAGTGAGGCTTGAGGGGGGCAAGTGCCCCTTTTGCAAGCCCCTGCTGACACCCATGCCCATAGTATTAGTCTAACAATAAAGAAGTTGCAAAACTAAAGCTAGCTTGTACTATATGTTCTATTTGTAATAATAAAATCTTAATTTTGTAAAATGCTCAGTATTTTTACTACAGATGTTACAAAGTACATAATACTCTTAACAAGCTTGTAAACAAGGCTAAAGAAGCGAGTTGGGTATGTTGGTACATAATTGAGAACTGGGGACAGTGCAAGAAAGAAAAGCGTGAATGGAGCAGGATAATATAAACATTTCAGGCTCTATCTGTGGTCTTTTTACATGGCAACCTTTATCAATTACGTAAACGTGGCTACTTAGCTGGTACAGCTGCAGTCAGAATTTTAGAGACCAAGGGAGTGTGTGGCAAAAAAAGTACTGCAGCCCTTTCTGATGGCAACTTGCAAAGCTTTAGAGGATGCACGTCCTTGTTGACGTGCCAGCCTGCTCGTTTGCTTGCTGCAACTGCACACGTATACCATGCAGTTGCAGAGAGCAAATGTGCAGTTGGAATGTCAGACCAAAGTGATTGGTGCCACTTGCTCAGCTTCCATGAAAAGACCGAGTGATTTGCCTGAAATAAAAATAAATTGGCACAGCTTGCAATAAGTTGCAGGGCAGTGCCACAGCAGAGCTGGCTTGGCTTGGCTTTTCCAAGTTCTGATAAGTGTAGCTAAGTCAACTGATATGTGCATCCATACATGGCTAGACAAGGTATTCGGTTTTCGTGTGATCTCTCTCATAAGTGAAGCTTTGGCCACTAGCTTATCGTATGGCATTAACTGGGTACTGATTAACTATTGTGCAGCAGCATTTATCAACTTGATTCCATTTGCTTAATTAAGCTAATTAGTATATCTGGGCTTATTCTTGAGTAACTAACATTGCCAACTGCAACCTGAACTTCATTAGTTACTTAGTTCATTAGCATCAATTAGGCTTAGTCTTCAGTGGCAGTAGTCTTTGCAAGGCCTGTCTCCACAATATCTTCTGGGCTCAGCCTCACTAGCTACACTAAGAATTCGTCTAGTTTTAATTATCATTAAGTAGATTCTGACTTAGTTGTGCTTAATAAGGTACTACCATGCTCAACTGGACTTTATTCGGCTTGGCTACCATTTCTTTTTCTTAAGCTCTGGGTAAATGTCTATTTGAAAAAAAAAAAAACTGATGTGAAGCGTGTTTTTCGTGCCATGCTTAGCATCTGAGGACAAGGAGTCCAGTGCACAGAAGACTGCCAGTGCAAGTTAGGCAGTCTCATCAGAATATCATATCTTGGTGCCTCCATAGCAACTGCAGAAGTGGCATCTTGCACTTTGGCATTCTGGTATGCATGCAGTTGAAGCAAGAGAACAAGCAGGCTGTCAGTAAAAAGGATGTGCAGGCGCATTGCATGCTCTTGAGCTTCGTAAGCAGTCATCGGAAAGCACTGCATTACCCTTTCCTATGCGCTCCCATGATCTCCCTAAATTTTACCGCACATGCAAAGGTAGATGTTTATAATGATGAAAAGAAGGTTAAGGAATGGAGCTTCTATCTAAAGTGGCTGACCTTGTGACCATTTGGAGAAATGTATGGTGCGAGTGTATGTTAAAAAAGCATGACCACTGTGCACTCTCTCTCTCACGAATGTTTCAAATCGCATGTATATATATGAAACACTGTATATGTTTACTTTACTATGTCTGGTGTGTTAGTCCTATGCTAGTTACATTTTCACCAACAGGCCCATGTTGCAACTTTCCTTGGAGAAGAGGAAGAAGGGCATCTGTCAATCAACACACTTATGTTGTCAATATCTGGACTTCAATATTATGTAGAGAAAGAGCTTTCTGGGGAATTCCTGCAGGCTTATCTGAGATCATGAAATTATAAACATCTTCATTTTAACTTGCCTTATCTCCCACAGATCATTTGTACAATTGTCTACAAGGGAAGATTTAATGTGTGCATATTTAGAAGTGATAAATGTATTGTTGAGACCAAAACGACTTCCATACGGTTTCTTTGTCATGTAATTACCTAGATTATTACTGAATATATATGTAGAAAAAGCATGGGAAAATTAGAGAGATTCTAATGTTTAATTTTTCTCTTATTTTTAGACCTGTTCAAGTCTTTGGAATGCCACACCCTTTTTATACCAGCTTTCAAGCGACCCCTTTTAACGGACTTGTCACTGGTAAGTACGAGCTTATTCCTAGTTGTCTTCGCTTATTTTTATGTGCACTCACCATGGTACTGTGATGCTTGACCTTTCACCAAAAGGTCGTGGAGTTGAATCTCGGCCATGGCAGTCACATTTCAATACAGTTTAATGTTGTGTTTAGATTTAGGTGTCTATCAAAGAACACCAGCAGGTGGAAATTCTCTCATGATCATGTTGTGGTTTTGGGGATATAGCACCGACAATTATTTATTTTTATGTTCAAATAACCTACAATGCTGGTAACCTTTTGCAGGGTTGTGCATAGAATGAAATAATACTTCATAGTTATATGAATGAATACAGGCTGCAGTTATGTTTAAACATATTGTGTATGGCTTGACAGCGTATATTCATTTTTACTGACCTGAAGAACTGAAACTGTTTAAAAGATGCCCGGGCACTAAATGTGATAGAGACATCGTATAATCGTGAGGTGGATTAATAGGTAGGTTGTATTCAACCAACCTTGCAAACATTATAAAGGTTTATATAGCTGCCATACAAATGCAATCTTTAAATTCAGCCTTAAAGTCTTGACAATGTACCACGGCCAAATAGGCTTGAGATACTCAGATTATTTTTGCATATCTATGGTTAATTGGTGGAAATACATGATAACTTGATTAAATGATTATTGATTTTTATTGTTAGATTTTACAGTTGGTCATTTCTGTGGAAAACAAATCCTTGAGAGATATGTACGAAGCTTGTGTTCTGTAATGTTTACTTAGAGTTTGTCACCAAACATCAACCTACTGTTAGTAGGGTCAGATTTTTGAAATATTTAATGTGAATGAAGTGGTCGAGACATTCCAATTTGTGATGTTTGGTTTTCAAATGATATAGAATATTTTCAAATGTTCATTAGTAGTCAAGATTATTTCTGTGACATTCTCATTGAATGTTCACTAAAAAATTTAAATACTGAATTAATTTAAAGCTATTAAATCACATATGGCAAAGTCCACGCAAATCTGACTTTTTGATGAGCATTGTTGATGTGCTCATGGAATAATCTTCGAGCAATCTGGTGCACCATTCACTTTTTCATGATGGCATGTTGTGCAATAAAGCTGTTTTGCTAGGCTTTGTTCAGTTTTTTTCAGAATCACTACTTCATTCGGAATATTTTTCCTTAGGTACCTAGCCTCAGAATAAGAGACATCGCGTCTTCTGTTTTAATTTGCATTTAACTCCTTTTAGGGATTGCGTCTGCAGTACTTACTAGTCTGATTATGGTGAGATTTTTAATCCAAAGCTGCACTAAGTTGTGCATGTTCCATTTGCTGCTGTTATTTTTATGACTGTGGCACTTCTCTTAAAGGGACACCAAAGACAAATATTAAGTCGATGTTGATTGCTGAAATAGCTGTCCAGAAGCCTCGTAGTACTGCTTTTGTACCAAGAAAGTGTTTATTTTGAAATAAAATCATGTTCTAGTGGCCTATATCACATAAGCACACTTCAAGCTACCCGCCTCAAAGTGGACACTGTCACGTCACTGTTGCCATGCACAATGTTGCCCAGCTTTACTGCGCGGCCTCCGACACTAGTAGCGGCAGAGCGAGAGTAGCGGGAGCCACAGCAGCAACAACAGCAATCGGGCAATTTTTTGCCATGGCCTTCGAGATGGCAGGCGTGCTTGGTTCAACTGGGCCCCGCTAGATGACAAGGCCTGTTCAGTTTAACTAGAGTTACTGTATATGCACCCTATGGGAGCAGAGTTGTGCATAGGTCCGCCATTATGTTTCACGGCTGTGCAGTGAAGCCATTTGTCGAGCACGCAGGAGAAAAATACGGTGCGATGTTCAGGCACGAGAGCGTTCCGCAGACGTATTCGTGCGCACTGAGCAAGATTGCACTGTCGCAGTGAGGTGATATATTGCTATAGGTTGCGAAAATGCTTGAGATTTAGGTGCTTAGATTTAGGTGCATGTTATGAAAACCCCAAGTGGTCGAAATTTGTAGAGCCCTCCACTACAATGTCTCTCATTATAATGTGGTAGTTTTGGGACGTTAAACTGAACAATTAAAAAATGTGAGTGAAGATCATTGAAAAGGTAACTCATTCGAAATAAAGCCGCTGCACGGTTTTTACACCAAACATACGATGCACAATGTTTCTGAAATAACAATTTTGAGTGCTCGGTACATTTTGACCCTGCTAGATGGCGTTACCTATCCAGTCTGTCGAGGGCAAACATGTCTGCGGCTCGATGTTCTGGCCATTCTAGCTTTGGTAATTCAGCTGAAACAATGTAATCGCTATTGGAGCTCGCGCTTCTGCTTATTTTGACAGGATGTCTGGAGTCTCCGCAGTGCTGACATCGCAAGTTCCTACAAACAAAGGGGGATTTGCGAAATAGCACCGCCAACGTAAAGCCTTCTGGCAGGTAGTTTACGTTACGTAAAGGTTTACGTTCTGTAAAGACCCGAACATGCACAGATTCTATTTGGTGACACGTTAACGTAAAGAAGTATATGTACAAGCTAAAAGCCCCTAAAGGCAGTCACGATGAAGTCAAGGCAGGCAGTAAACTCGTGGGCGTCGCGCCATCGGGCATGTAAAGTTGGCTTTGGTGCGAAAAATGGAACATTTAACGTCACTTTTCATCACGTGACAGCGCTTGCCGAATAGCGGCGTGAGCGGTAAAGGAAATGGTATGTGCAACTCTCCTACCTTAAGGTAGCATATACTGTAACTATAAGTTTAACCAGGCGAAAATGGAACTTTTGGACCACTCGCACCATTTACCATGGTAACGTACGGCGGTTCCTTCTACTATAAATCAACAGAAACAGACACGGAGCATTTTGTTATGTCTCTTGATGCACTAAAGCTCTTTCTTTATTGCAGCTAGTGTGATTACTAGTGATTAATTGTAGTCAGATGCTCTGATGTCATCAAGATCATTTGCAAATATCCCACTGATGGGGCCTGTCGTAGGGTACATTTAGCTCAATTTCTTGGCAAGTAGGGCACTGCTGTTGACGATGTTGCAGTTCTAGATGTCATACATTAAGCTTTCACTCTGACATAAATTGTTATTTGCCTTCAATGTCCTTTCAAGTTGTGCAGGTCACTCTAATTTACACTTTTGTTTTTGCTCTTGCTCCTTCTTGTTATTTTCTGTGCATTATAAAAGTAAAAAAGTCAATATATGTGCTGCTCCGAGTTTTTCTCATCTTCAATTCTATGTCTACTTATCAGACAATTTTGTAAGACAACTGCCCCTATTGCCATCCACTTTCATCTAAATTCAGAATTGTTACTCTACAGAGAACAACTTGCTAAATAGAAGAAAAAAATCAATGTATTCGTACAAATGTTTATATGGAGGAAATTTCTTGGAATTAAATTGGGCAGTAGAACCTGCCATGTTCTTCGCAAACCTACACGTGAAACAGCTGCAAGTGTGCTTCACCTCCTCTCTATTTATTTTCGTAATCATCTGCTTTATGGTTGTCTTCAGGGAAGTTTTTGTGTTATGGTGCTTTGCATTAACCTTTGCCTTGGCAATGCCCCACACATAATGGTTCAGGAGTTGGCATTTGGGGATAGAGAGAGGTCAAAAGACTGGCAATCAGTGGCAAAGCACATTATAACTTATTACCATCTGCACACATAACAGGCGTTTTTGTTCTCTTGTTGGAGAGATGAGTTACCATCTGCACACATAACAGGCGTTTTTGTTCTCTTGTTGGAGAGATGAGTTACGCTGGAAAACACACGGCATCTTCTCTGCATTTGGCTGCCTTGGGCAGAGTAAACTTTGTAATCAAGGAGAATAAGAATACCTTGTGAGTGTTGGTGATAAACAAGTCAAAAGCAGCGCCAGTGAAAATGGAAATCAACTTCCACTGCCCCTGCGAGGGTGAAAGGGAGGGCCTATAAAAATCAATTTTCGCGTGCCTCTGTTGCGATCGCATGGGGAAACTGAAGCCATGCAAGGGCGTTGCTGCAGATCAGCTGATGTACTGGCACTAGAAACAAGCTCTCTTTATCTCCACAAATAGGCAGCACAATCATTTCGTACGCTTCTTTTCTGCGCTGGTAGGTGGCAGCACCTTCGAGTGAGCATGCACCATCATAGGAGAGTGAAATTTCATACGGAGGGTCAAAAACATATCCGTGTGGCAAAGACACTGCGAGACAGAATACCCTTGCCGTTCATGTATGGCAAAACAAGTGAAAGAGTTAAAGGGTGAAGTAAAAATGCAATTCAGCAGAATTAAAGCTCTTTTCTAGTGGACTTACCTAAACGATGCCTTGGTAACTATGCCTTCTATTGAGGAGGTTACGGCTAGGCTGGCATATTTATATGCAATGTGTCCACCCCAAAATTAAAAAGCAGTTTACCAAATAGTGTGTATTAGGATGTTTCTGCATTTATTGACCTTGTCAAAGAAGGGAAGGATTACCTCCTTACTGGGACTGTTGCATAGAAGTACAAAATCTGATGTCACAGCCTAGGCTGTGCATTTTGGGGGGGTCACTCTTGTTAACAACAGCCCAGAGAAGATTATGGCAGTGCCAAGGAAAACTCTATTGATTGACAAGGTGCATATGACAAAAGAAAACTGCAGTTAACATTGTATATTATGGCAGCAGACGATGGTGCTTTATCTTTATTCCAAGTAAAAGACCAAAAGAAAAAATGCACTTGACCAGCCTGTGTGTTGCTGTTTTGCTATTGGTTTGGTTGTAAGGCTACATAAATGGACATTGAAAATCTGTAAGCCATCTTTCTTTTTTAGGTGTCTCTCTTTGTTTGAAATATTAGGACCATAATCCTTTTTTTTTAAATAAGTTACCTTTTTTTGTGACCATGTTTTTGGGAATGGATTGAGTGGCTTGCAAATTGTGATATTGGTCACTGATCTGTGAATGGCTTTAGTGAAACTGGTTTTGGGGCTGTGCAGGCATCAGAAGAAGATCTCACCGAGGAGTACATTGAGGAGCGAAATGCACTCACAAAGAAATTGCGTGAGGTGTTGGTGCCAAAAACGAAAAATGGTACGAGCTGTCTTTCATCTGCTTCTCTACACTGCATCTAGTAGACTGAACTGATCTTCTGAAATTGCAATACATAGCCTGGAATGAATGCCCATGAACGAGCAGTTTTTCTGGTTTCCATGGATACAGTATTGGTGTTAGAAAGTCGCTAATTGGGTATTAGCCACTGCCAGCTAGCACTGACTGCTTGCCTAGACTGCATGCTGGCAGCTGACTAGCAGTTTTATAGCCCTGTCACACAGCAACCACTGAACTTCATTTACCTCCATTCAGCATTCAACTCCCTAATAGAGTTTGACGAGGATAGAGTTGTGGCTATGCTACACGGCTTAGTGCAAGCTTTCGGCGGGAGCCTCTCGGAGCAGAAATGGCGCTGCTGCGCTTGTCGAAACATCCAATATTTCACTTAGGTAGTCACCTTCAAAGCAACGTACACGTGTATCTCTCTCTATATATTTTTTTGCATGCATTTTGATAAAACTGAAGGAATAAAGTATGCGAGAAAGTACACTGTGCACGTACAAGCATCTCGCATGTGTGTAAACCAACAATACCACGCAACACTTGCCGGTGGCGGCTTGACAAATCGTTAGGTGTAGAAGGTACAAAAAATCGAGTTGAAACTTGCACTACACAGTGTGTAATGCTACACCGCACAAAAGTGTAATGTTAAAATTTATAATTAAGAGTACTAAGACAGTTTTGTTAGCACGGTTATCTTCCTAGCAAAAGCTATGTGGGAACGAGAGTACTCCATCTAGCCCAAGTAGTCATTACCGAACTCCCTTTTCCAAAAGCTCTATTTAACTGCCACGGGGAAATGGAGGCATTGTAACATGAACCGCATCTTTTTCGACAAAAGACACTGAAACGGACTTCCGTGGTGGCCGTGTGACAGGGGTATTAGTCTAATACGAAGCCTGATTCTTCAGCAGAGTGTAACGTTGAGCGAGTTGGTGCATATCTTAATAAAATATTTAGGGCGCAACTGATACTAGCAAGGAAAAAAAAAATGAAGGAGACATGGTAAGGCACCAGACTTTCAACTCGTTTATTTTCCTCACATCACCCAAATATATATGCCAGAATGCGCACAAAGAGGGGGTGCAGCACAAGCGACTATCACATTGCACGCATGGAAACTCAAACAGAAGAAAGCTATCACACAGCGCTATCTAGAAACAGGTATTCCTTTTTGTACAAAGTGATCGACAGGACACTGACGCATTCGTTCCCCTTCCTTTGTATGTGATATGCCATATGCCTCAAGTATGTCACATGCTAACGTTACTCTGCTTCGTCCTAACACACATGTTTCTCGGAACAGTGGTGTGCAGCCGCACGAAGCACATTTTAATGGTGGGTGTTCTGCCAACTTTTCCACTTTTCCTGCTTGTGTTGCAGCTATTCTTGAGCCATTTTCAAAGGAAAGGGTCTTTCTCCGCTGCCCACTGATTGGTGGCATAGCGCCATCAGTTGCCGACATAGCGCCGAGCTTTGGTTGCACAACAACACATTCACTATCATTAGCGGCTAACTCCTCGCACGTCCAAAAAGGTGTTGGCAAATGCACAGTCAACGACGCAGTTTCATTGTTCGGGGCTGTAATCACTGCAGTTAGTGAGCGCAGCGCACCAGGTGCACTTGAGCATGAAACACCAACACCAGCCTCACTTGAAACGATGGAGCGTTGCACTGATGGTGTAGCAACTTCGACGTCGCGATAAGCATCAGTGCAGTTGTCGTCTTGAAGAGACAAAGGTGAAGCTGCTCAGCATCGATGGGACTGTCGCCCATGCGTTGGCGGGTGAACGCGCCTCACCATACATACCAGCTTCATCGGACGCTTTCTTGAACAGAACGCGTGCTCAGTCCCAAACTTTACCTTGCCCATCGTTAGTGACAGAACAAACATCAACATCCCGTGAACACGGCGAAAGATCGTCTCGTAAAGACGGTGAAAGATTGAAGAGCACGCATGAGAACCAAGCCAAATGATGGCAAACGGGAAAGCTACGCATGCCAAGAGGACACCAAAAGGCACGCCAAGAGGCTCTTGCAAGGCCGGCACCGGAGCAGACGGCGAGCCGGAGAAACAGATGCATCATCGTGCGCAACAGCCAATAGGAGCTGCGTGATTGCCCACTACCTCAAGAAGCGCGCGCGCTTCCTCTAGTCGCGGCTTCGCATCCGAGTCGCGGAAGGCTTCAAAACTTCGAGAGCCCCCCAATCACGAGCGATTCTCGCTTCGGCCATGCCGCTGCTGCTGCTGCAGGTGGCGAAAAAAAAAAAAAGAGCGAGAATTCACGAGCAGAACAAGATCAAGATGGCTGCGCTGGTCCGCGGGGTTAGGAAATTGCAAATGCACGAAGTTGGGCTATTTTCTGCGCTTGCTGGCCACTCGCCAGCTGTCGCGGCTTGTTATATAATTTATTTGACGTACTTTCGCGATGAATTAAACATTGATATTTACAGAACACATAGTTTATAAGACATACTAACCAAATATGTGGTTTTTAAAAATTGACTTTTTTCGCAATTTTTTCATTTTCAAAGGGCGCATCTCCTCTTAAATCAAGCAAACATAGTTTCTAACACTTTTGGTGTTTGAGAAAAGTAATACTTGGTACAATTACAGGTTTTTCTAAAACAGCAGACTTGATTGGTCACATGAATTACGCCCCGCCGTGGTGGTCTAGTGATTATGGCGCTCGACTGCTGGCCCGATGGTCACGGGATCGAATCCCCTCTGCGGCGGCTGCATTTTTGATGGAGCCGAAAATTTTTGAGGCCCGTGTGCTTAAATTTAGGTGCACGTTAAAGAACCCCAGTGGTTGAAATTGTTGGAGCCCTTCACCACGGCATTTATCATAATTAAATGGTGGTTTGCATAATTATTGATCACTTTAATTACACTGATCATACATGTATGTGCTTGAACGAACCATTAGGTTTTCTGTTTCATTTGAATTGGTAGTACTGTTCTTTCTATTTAACTTCAAGGAGAGGTTATGCCGAGCGCTAGTTTTAATACGATAGTGCAGTCGCAATTTATTAACAGTCCCAGCTGCAGCAGTGGCTTGCAAAACTTCAGCCGCAACATTTATATACCGGTGTGACGGTCCTACTTCTCAACTTAGGCAAAAGTTAATGTTAAAAAACTTGTCAAATGAGATACAAAAATTTTATTATGGCAAATCTCATTAAACATAAAACATATTTCAGGCTCAATGGACCATTTGATTATTAACCCCATATCTTGTCAAGTTCCCACAAAACAGCAGCCCAAGAGCCCAAGCATTCTTTCCATGAAGCACATCATTCACTTTACCATGTAATGTAGGTCTTGGTGGTGCTGAAAGCATGAACTTCTCCGGAATATATATAGTAAAAAATGCGTTGCATATTTGATTGATAAACTGCCATATGATTATGATAGATGTTGTAGTGGAGGGCTCCAGAAATTCCGATTAACTGCGGCTTTTAATGTGTACCCAAATCTGAGCACATGGACCTGCAGCATTTTTGCCATTTTCGCCTCCATCGAAAATGCAGCCGCCGCAGCCCGGATTAAATCCCGTAACCTGCGGATCAGCAGCCAAGTGCCTTAGCCACCAGACTACCGAGACGGGGCATGCGTCGAATATTTACACGGCCTGAACTTTCATACAGTTTAGTTACTAAAGCATCAGGGAAAATGTCACGTAATTGCAAATAATAAATGTGCTATGGGTAAATGTGAAGTGACCGACAATTACTAGGCTGAAGAAACTGAGAATGGGGCACAAGCATACGAAGAGCACCAAGTTCATTTTGTTTTCTGGAATTTTATAAATAAACATGCATTCAGGTGTTAATTTATTTATTTCATTGAATATAGTGTAAATACTCCATGTTAGAGGTATTAGCATTAGAAAATGTCAGACTGGTATCTTCTCCAAAAGACTTGCTTAAGAGCACCGGGAAAGCCCTATATGTCCCATGCATTTTTGGTCGTTTTGAGGTACCGTTTTCTCACTGACTAAAAGGGATATTCACACAATTTATGCATCATTTTTTTCCCACTTTTCTACTCTAATAACTGAAGCAGGTGTATTAAGCTATGACTAATATTAGAATCTTCATTATAATTTTTGCTGCTAGGACCTAAATCTTAGCTAATTGGCAGCTATGAAGATTTGTAACACAAACACTGCAAAGTGTATAATTTCAATTCTGCTTCAGTAGCTGTATGCATTCATGCAGAATACAAGGAAAAATAATCAACTGGTTATCTTGGAATAAAGTAGGAACTGATGGTACCTAAGTAATGAAAAACATGATTTTGAGATAATCGAGAATAAAGTTAAAAAACAACTGAAAAGTGAACACACTTTGTCACAAACACCATTCAACTTTTTTATCTAGTAGCTACAAGCTTGGTAAGTATTGCCCAAGTCAATTTTTTACTTTCGAGCCTCTCGTAATGCTTGCCTTGTTCTTTTATGAGCTGTCATGCAGCTCTATGCACAATTCATCCGTCCATGTGTCTATCCATGTGCTAGCTAGCTAGCACATAAACAAAATCAGGGGCCCTAAAGCTTCGCCTGTAGGAGTTGAACGCGATAGTGACATCTTGTTCGTAGTGCATACTTCAAACACTTAGTGCATGAAACCTGTTCGAATTTGCTACGCACCCACTACGTGGCCTTAAGGGAATAGGTGCAGTAGTGTGTTTGCTTTTGTAGTGGGCTACCGGCTTTCAACCTCGTAGCCATTATGATAACCACATATTCTGACGCCCGTTGGCAATGGACGCTTGACCACGCATTATTACTGCAATATATTTTCATGTTGCATTGTGAAGCATATATAATGGATGCGTGTGTTTGTAAAGCATGAAAGCTACTTTCACTGAATTTTCAAGCAGAGGAAGTTCTTTTACTGTTTTCGCAAGCAGAGGCGTGGCCGTGTGGTAGAACATTTGCTTGCCACGCAAACTACCCGGGATCGATCCCCACTCAAACCCCAAAATCCTGGCTCGGTCTGCACTGTGCTCAGAGATTTTTATCATTTATTTATTTTATTTTTATTGTTCTCAATTTTTCAGTCTTGCATAATATGATGATTTTTTGCTCGCAACTTACGACATCGACGTCGACACCGGAATTTCTGCGAAATGGGCTCTTTAACGCGATCGCTTCAAAAATCTCGTCACAAATGTGACCAAATGCATTCCTCCAGACACGAATGGCACATATCCGTAGGGCTACGGTACACATGTGTGCCACAGGTGATTGACAGTTTATATCTATGCTGGGATAGTGAGGACAGACATTAGTAACATAAATGTGACAGCATTAAGAGAAACTGACATCGGCATTGTAGACCCAATAAATACAAAGATAAAAAAGCAGAATCTCAGCAGGAATCGCACCCAAGCGTTCTGTGTTGAACCAGGTATTTTAATACCGGGCCATGCCAGGTTTTCAAACTGCTTTAAAACTTCCATTGTCGATGCAGGGCTAGTGATTTAATTTAAAAACAAAACTCTAAACAATAGATATGTTAACTGGGTTAATGCCGGTTAACATATATGTACTTACAATGTCGGTTCCACTTTTGTAGCAGTCCAATATACATTACATTTGTATTTTCATGATTCAGCAAGCTATATTCAAGCATTGCTCAACCAAGGGAGAATGCGCTAACGAAAGCTATGTCTGACATTCACATCGTCACACCATAAAGCGCACTTTGCTTTGATAGTACTAACGTGTGTGCTCTGACACGAATGCTGACATTAAGTGTGCTCCGCCGCGGTGGTCTAGTGGCTGAGGTACTCAGCTGCTGACCCGCAGGTCGCGGGATTGAATCCCGGCTACGGCGGCTGCATTCTCGATAGAGGCGAAAATGCTGTAGGCCCGTGGGCTCAGATTTGGGTGCACTTTAAAGAACCCCAGGTAGTCGAAATTTCCGGAGCCCTCCGCTACGGCGTCTCTCATAATCATATGGTAGTTTTAGGACGTTAAACCACACAAATCAATCAATCTGGCATTAGGTAGGTCGGACCATAAGTTACATAGTGTGGCCATCAGTGTAGTGGACGCCAGTGTAGTGGATGTCCCTGGTAAGCTAATGATGTGCACACAACTGCTGCACTTAAAGTCAATTCAGTTCACAACACTTGTGTTAAATAAAAAAAAATCTGAGTAGACAGTAACTTGCCGGCTGCTTAACATGACACCGATTCCTACGAGGCATGGGATTCGCCAATTTTTTAACGTGTTGTGTCCGTGCAAAACATGTGAACGACGGCAACATGCCAAAGGTATCATCTGTCACGCTGCGGCGAAGACTGCATTTCCTTCGATGCGCTGCAGTGGCCTAGCAGATTCTTCTCCTCAAATAGTTCTTTCTCCATGATGCTTCCCATAATTATGGTATCAACTAAATAACTAAAATAAGTGCAAAGCACTCAGATCATGATTATTACCTTTCTATTTCAATAGTTTTAAAATGTAAATTATTGTGACATTTTGGGTCTGGAATCAACAGAACTGGGCTCTTGCTTAATTATTTTCAATAGATGCTTGCTTTTTAGCCTCTCTCTTTTTCTTTTTTTTTTAATCTTTCGAGTACGGAATGTTTTGTGTTTAACTATAAACAAGTCCATTGTATGGAAACATAGTATTGCTGCAATTCCTCCCGCAGGCAAACCAATCACAGGTCCTGAGCTTGCTGGCCTACTCCAAGTTCTTGTAGATGCTGCAAATGAAGGATCTCTTGCTGACGTAAGTATATATTGTTAATTTCAGTTTTTATAATGCATTATCACATCTATGAACAGACACTTAATGAAACATTAAGTACAGAGAAGAGAATTTTTTTCATTTTTTTTTTTCAAAGCTAGAACTCAGTGTCTCACAGGCAGTTTCAAGTGCCAGTAAAACTTTTTCATAACTGCGTGTTGGTTCCAGTGTTGCGGAATGGATAGCTCCACTCTATTTAAATTCCATTCCGGGGAATAGTAACTAGCTGTAATTCTATTTTTTTCAGTGCCTCATAATGAAAAAACAGCCCAATCCCACTGTGTGAATGGCCAGGCAGGTCAATTCCATTCTTACGAAATTCCTCAACGCAGGACACGCTTATCTTGATAGCTTTGTCGAGCTACGATTGATTGTAACAACATAAATCTGATGTGATCAGATGCATAAGAACTGCAAAACTATGCTAAATGTTTTACCACGGTCAAAGGATAGTTACTTGATGACTTGTCTCGTCATACCTTACCAACCTGGCAATAGAGAAAGTCGTAAAACCCTTGACAAGGAAAGGGGGAGGGGTACCGAATTTTTATTTTATGTGTAGCTGTGATGGATTTGCCTTTAGCAACAAGCATAATCATGTTTTGCCACCAAGTGAAGTCTATGCGCTGAATTATTTTCGCCCATTTCTGGCACTTAAAGAAAAAAAAAACATCTGGAAAAACATTAGGTGGGGGGGGGGGGGGGGGCAAACGCAAGTACAAACTAACTTGGACGTTGGGCTCTCATAATGGCTTGGAGCGGCCAAACAAACACACACTGGTTTCCCACTAAGGTGAGAGTCTCAAAGGGGGAGAGCTAATGCTCCAGAAATTGCGCATCATCAAAACAACGAGCAAAAAAATTAATTTTCGTCTAAACAACTCGCATATGTCTTCACACATGAACGGACGGGACGGCACAGCTGGCTACCACGAAAGCGTGGGTGAAAGCTTTGGCTTTGCTCGCTACTGAATTCTTTGGACTGGGATGCCAAAATGTATCTAGCGTTTTTTACGTTGTTACCGTCTTTAATCTACCGCTGCGTCAGCCACGTGCGCTCGGAGCTCGTAGATCGCTATCGCATCACCGCTACCGCAGTTTAGTGCACAGTGATAGCGGCAAGCGGTCGTTTTATTTTTAATTCACGTGCCTTGAAAACTAAGTCATTTTTTTTATTTTATCTATGATGGCAACTGCCACAGTTTTGCGGAAAGCAGAGTTTCTTTTACTGGTCAAGCGTTGGACGGGCGCACACTTTGGAAATTTGTCAGTAACGTCACCGCCATACATGATCGTGTCGAACGACCGCGGTTTCGCCCACAGCGATTGGAACGACAACCACACGCACTGTAAAAGACCGTGCGTGCGCTGGTCGCACGTGTACTTCTGAAGCTTCGAGCATGCTCCTCTTGATTGGCCTTCGTTCGATGGTTTCGGTTCTAAAGTTCATATCACACGCTGCAATTAAGAAAAGTGTTTGGAACATTCGAATTTATGCCCGATGGACACATGAATTTGGCTGGGGAGTTTCACGAATTCGTATTTGCCGCGGTTTCGCATTACTGAGACTTTACTGCACAGTTAGATGAGCGCCTCTCAAATATTTTTTGTAATAAAATGCGGTGGGCTTGCAAAAAGCCTGGAACGGACTGACCCTCATTTTTGTTAATGTGGCCAGATCTCGCACACAAATTTTGATTTCCAGGAAATTTTTATGGCAACTGTACAAATGGAAGGAATGGTCAAAATTCGGGAGTCTCTCGAACAATGCGGGAGACTTGGCAGGTATGTGATTATGATAACACTAATACATATTGTTCTCTTCTGGTCACATGGTGGTTTTGGGACGTTAAACCCCACATATCAATCCTCTTCTGGTGGTGGAATATAGCACAACTCTGTTTTTGTGTGCGTTTGTGTTCTTGTCCTTTTATGTGATTTGTTAATGCGTCTATGTTGCTGTGATGCGTGCTTACCATGTGATTATATGAAGTAATTAGTGCTACTAATTAATTTACGTGGACAAGATCAGTTCGCTTATTATCTTACATGCACAGTTGCCGACCAATTTTTCGGACCTGGCGGGGAACGAAAAACTTGTTTTTGTCAGAAATGTGAACTTCGTTGCATCAGGCAGGCTTAAAAACGTTCATGATGCTGCCTTTCCTCGTACTATATTAGTCTTGATATCTTATGTGTGCGTTTGTGTTTATGTCCTTTTATGTGATTTGTTAATGCGTCTATGTTGCTGTGATGCGTGCTTACCATGTGATTATATGAAGTAATTAGTGCTACTAATTAATCTACGTGGACAAGATCAATTCGCTTATTATCCTACATGCATAGTCGCCGGCCAATTTTTCAGACCTGGCGGGGACCGAAAAACTTCTTTTTGTCAGAAATGTGAACTTTATTGCATCAGGCAGGCTTAAAAACGTTCATGATGCTGCCTTTCTTCGTACTATGCTTGGAAACAATTTGGTTCGCCTATATTTGCACCAAGGGGACATCGTCACCATATACGCTCAAAAGCGTCTTTGTGGTGGCCATCTCCGCTGCCGACGGCTGCGGGTGATCATTGTCGTTTTCATCTGAGCCGCTCTCCGGGTGCAGCACAACTTGGTGAAGAATTTCTTCGTCCGTGGGCTCCGTGCATGAAACAATGTCATTGTCCGCACGAGGGAAGTCCTTAAATGTCATCGTGGCAGGCACATTCACTCCACCACTGCGCAGGTCACATTATAGGTCCTCCCCACCAGTGGTGCCGTCTGGGTCGCCTACGTCCCGGTCATCCGCTTTGGGCTCTTCAGCAGCAGCGAACCCGGCATGCCTAAAGCAATGTGAAATGGTGTGTGCCTTCACCGCCTTCCTAGCTTCAGCCAACGTATGAATGGCGGCGAGAGTGTCGACCATGTAGGCCTTCTCACTGTCGAGGCACAAGACGGTGCGGCTGAGCAGGCGGGCACGGTAGTGTGCCTTGATGTTTTGGATCACGCCTTCATCCATTGGCTGGAGCACGCCTGTGGTGTTAGGCGGCGAAAATTCCAGCCAAATGGCCTCAAGGTACAGCACGCTACCGTGCGTGCTACAATTGTCAACAAAAACTATCTCTTTCCTGCCTTGCCGCACAAACTTGCGGGCGAGTTTGCGTAGGTACTTTTCAAATAAAGACGGAGGGATCCATGCCATGGAGTTTACTGCCGTAGTCCACAGGAAGGTTCTTCACTCTTAAAACAACCTAAAGCATCTTAAAGAACACTCCTGTCTCGTCTCAGTTGAAGGAGCATATTCTTTAAGCAAGGATCCCAAATTCGTCACACGGTAATTGGACACAAGAGTTTGGTGGACTACTGCGTTTTCACCGCTCACTTTTTTGAAGAGAATTTCCTGCCTCTTCTTGAAGCCGCGAAGCCATCCGTCAGTGAATTTAAAATCCTCAATGCCCATTTTGAGTGCGAAAAAGTCCGTTTTTTCCTTCAACAAATCTCCCGACACTGGCAGGTTCTTTGCCAACACTCTCTGTAACCACTACTGCGGAGCCTCTTCAAGGGCTGAATGAATGCCCTTGCTGTCGTTTTTCTGGCTCTTGTATGGATTCTGGAATGCTGTCAAAATCTTCATTCAGTTTTTGGCATATCTGGATACCGTTTGCTTCAATAGGTGGTATTCTTTGGTGACATCAAGTTGTGACCGTCCACTCTTTATTAACCTGATAGTTGCAGCCTTTTCCAATGTCATGGTCGTATAGTTCCTACGCTTCTTCGCACCACCTGGCTCTCGCAACGGTACAGATGGCGAAGCCATGGCGTTCAGCTCGAGCACACAAAATTCGATGCTGCAGATAGCCGCTGAGAAGCATACAACGTCTCAATGACACAACACGTGCTAAATGGCGACTGGAACAAACTGGCACTGCTGCGACCAAGGAGGTTTCAAGAAATTGCTGGAGAGGAAATTATTGCCCAAGAGTGTAGCCGTGCCTGTGTCAAGATGGCGGCTGTGGTGGCCATATTACTAGGGGCATGATGAAGTTTCACCATTCAGTGATTAAGAACGGAGCGTTTCCCTCACGCACCCAAGAAGTTTAATGCGGAAATTCTTTCGGGTCACAGTGCTCCAAGTGCATCTTAGTGGGACCAGTTTTCCTTAGTAAACTTCTAATAAGTGGCTAACAAAATCATGGCTTACGCAATGGATTGTGGGCTACGGCACCCGTCTGCACCGACTTCCGGCTCAAGATGCCGTGATGCCGTGCGGGCATTCTTGCTAGTGTCGGCGCTTTTTGCGTTTTCCACATTGCACACTTAGTGCCCTTACAAATTGTGGCATAATACCTTCGAGTGCTATGCGGCATAGTTTAATAACAAATTGAATCACCATGAAATAGTTATAATGGTGCGAGCAGTCTTTTTTTTTTTTTAAGCAGTTTGCACCTCCGTATACATACTTGTTGTTTTGCAGCAAAGGTTATTATTGCGCATGTTTTGTCACATGCAATAATTTTCTGCATTTCATAGGGTCATGAAATATCCGTTAATTTGTAATCGTGTTGCTCACATCCCCAAAAATGATTTATTTACTTTTTCGTTGCAAAGATGCCATTCCGTGCTCGATGTAGCGAATAACCGTAGTAATGCTCGTAGTTCTCCGACTTTTTTTTACTCCTCTAAATATTCCTTTAAATGAAGTGTCATCCCTCACACACTAGAACAATGTTTTTCAATGCATGCAAATTATCCGCACTCAGCGTACAGTTGTGCAAGATAGCATTAAGGCTATATGAGTTGGAGTATAAAACGACCTATCGGCATTACATGCTTGCAAGTTTGACATAACAGATACGCCATACCATGCTACTCATTGCTTCAAAAGCGACCTCGATCGTTTCACGTCGCAGGAAACCATTATTCGAGTGGCCATTTTGTTCAGTAGGCTTTTTATGTATTCACCTGTTTCAATCGATTGAACAGACAGCGATGTAG